TTCCGATCTCAGTAGCGCACCGAGGGCAATCAGTAGTGCACCAAAGGCGCCGTCGCCAAAATATATATATATATATATATATATATATGATCCAGGGCTGCGGGCCCACGGCCCCCCTCCTCCCCAGATGGGATGGATCCCAGGGCTCCACGGGCACCCCCCCTCCTGATGGCATTGGGAGGGGACGACGACTGGACGACGACTGGACGACGACGACGACGACGACGACGACGACGACGACGACAGCGACGGCGACGGCGACGGCGACGGCGACGGCGACGGCGACGGCGACGGCGACGGCGACGGCGACGGCGACGGCGGCGACGACGACGACGACGACGGCGACGGCGACGGCGACGGCGACGGCGACGGCGACGGCGACGACGACGGCGGCGGCGACGACGGCGACGACAACGACGACGACGACGACGACGACGGCGACGGCGACGACGGCGGCGACGACGACGACGGCGACGACGACGACGACGACGGCGACGACGACGACGACGGCGGAGACGACGACGACGACGACGGCGACGACGACGACGACGACGACGGTGGCGGCGGCGGCGGCGTCGACTTCCAAAGCCCTCCGACGACGGCGACGGCGGCGGCGGCGACGACGACGACCTCCGGAGCTCTCCTGGAGCACCTCAGCACCACGCCACACACGCCACACCTACAGTACCAGTACCACACCGCACCTACAGGGGGGGGGGAGGACCATCGCGCGGGGTGGGAGGGCCCGACAGCATCAGCATGAGGGGGGGCGGGGGCCCAGACCCTGGACCATATAACATTCCGCGGTTGCGGGTAAGAGTGAGGGGGCGCGCGCGGGGTGGGTCGCGGGTGGGTCGCAGGTGGGTCGCAAGTCGGTCGCGGGGTGAGTTGCGGGTGCGTCGCTAGTGGGTCGCGGATAAATCGCGGGTGAGTCGCGGGTGGGTCGCGGGTGGGTCGCGGGTGGGCCGCGGGTGGGTCACGGGCGGGTCGCGGGTGGGTCGTGGGCCGGGTCGCAAGTGGGATGACGACGACAACAGCATCAACAACGACAACAACAATAATTTTAAGATGATTCGTTCTTATCTGTTCGCGCGCCCATCAACACGTATATCCCAGACCCTCGATACCCGCCCTCCTCGTCTTCGATCGTACCCCCGTTGGGGATACATCTTCCCTACCTGTCGCGCGCAATTGGCGCAGAACCCAAAACAGGGGAAGGAAGAGATGAGGGAAGAGACAAGGGGGAGGGAGGAGGATGGAGCACTAGAGAGATTTGCAGGAGGAGGGTTAGGAGCAGGAGTACAGTTGGCGTTGGTTTTCCAGGTCAAGGAAGGGAGCCCCACCTTCCCCCTCCTCGGGCATTTGCCTTGGTGAGCCTCGATGCATGGGCGTTGGGCGGCGTTGGGAAACCATATGCTTTGTAGATGCTGGATTTTTTTGCCCGTGCTGAATCTCCAAGACTCGAGGGCCGCCCTTGTCGCCACGGCTGGATCCGCCAGGACGATTCGCAGACGATTGTGTGCCCAACCCCGCATCCCGCTTCAGCCTGCAACGCTCGTAGACGACACCCCCCGACTTCGACGAGGACGCGAAGATAAGACGATGACGGTCCCCAGCTTTTCTTTCGGAGACGGCGAGGACGACGACGCTGAGGACGGCGGCGACGAGCAGGTACGCACCGATTGCAGAGCAGAAGCCAGAAGCCATCCCTTCAGGTGCGTGCCGCGCTGTTCCTGTCGCCGGGGACACATCCCGCCCCCCCCCAGCACCGAACAGTGTCAAGGGCCTCACGGTCCGCTGACGACGAAGGTGAGAGGCGGCGGCCCAGCAGGACGAGACATTGGCCGTACGATCCCATCGACCTGGACTTACCGACCCCTTCCCCTGAGGGTGTGCGTAGGCTCTTCATCCTGATGGGTCGTTCCTGACGGCCCACACGGGGCCCAGCTCGGGGCCCACGCAGAGACCCAACAGCGACCCACGCACACACACACACACACACAGACCCAACAGCTGCGAGGCACCGCCCGCCTCGATTCTTCGAGCCACCATGAGATGTCGACAGCAGCAGGGGGGGCGGCAGAGCCCCCGAGCGCCCGCGCCTGGCAGGCCCGATGACCCGCCGCTGGGGCCCAGGCACCGCGTCGGCGGCGGAGCGGCCGCGAGCGGCTGAAGCCGGGCCGCGCCGGAAAGGGCTCGGGGGGGCCAGAGCTCGGCTGCACGATGGGGGGGTAACATGGCCGGGGCAATCGAATATACCAGATGTGTCACGGCCGACTCTTCCTAATATTATTGTTTTTCTTATATCAACGCCTCGCCTGGCCCCGCCGCCATGGCTGAATCCGCCTCGAAAGACGGGCCAGGATTGACCTCGGGACGGGTCCTGACCCAATGCGAATGTGGACCATGCGGGAGAGCCCGCTGTCACGTCACCACTGGCCCTCCTCCGATACACGCCCTCGAGAATCCAATCTCGAGGATCTTTGGATTCTCCGGAGGCGGAAATCGTCGCCGTCGTCGTCGTCGCCCTTCACCCGGGGTGGGGGGGCGCAAGACGTTTCATATACGGCGGACGTCAGTGATGACGTCTATGGTTTCATGTGTATCTGAGGACTGTGCACAGGCAAAGCTCTGCGCAGTGACCAACCAGGGCAGGCAGCGCCATACTAGCGAGGCTTGTTCAAGCAGTTGGGTTTGTTACCCTGGCGTGCCTCCTCGCATGGCCGACTCTCTCATGAATCAGTACCTGGTCGTGTTTTTGCCAGGATGTTGCAATTTGGGCGTTCTTATGTTTGTTCCTTGCCACGTTGCTGCCCGTGCCGCCTTGTGGTCGCCCCGCGCGCTGGGTCGGCTCCCCGAGAATTCGCCACGTTGCCGCCTCGTGGGCGCCTCGTGGGCGCCCCGTGCGCTGAATGGATTCACCAAAGATTCGCCACGTTGCCGCCCGTGCCGCCTCGTTGGCGCCTCGTGGGCGCCCCTTGCGCTGTGTGGATTTCCCGAGGATTCGTCACGTTGCCGCCCGTGCCGCCTCGTGGGCACCTCGTGGGCGCCCCGTGCGCTGAGCTTACACCACGCAGCTTGCACCAAATAGGCTACACATGGCTTATACCACTTCGCTTACACGACACAGCTTGAACCGCATAGCTTTCACCGCATAGGTCACACAACATAGCATACACCGCATAGCTTACACCGCATAGTTCACGCCACATAGAATACACCGCATAGCGACCACCTCTGGTTTACTCCACATAGCTTGCGTTGCTTAACTTAACAACATATCTTGCACCGCATAAATTTTTCGTCATAGCGCACACCGCATAGCTGACACCGCATAGCCTTCACCACACAGCTGCGCATATCTTACACCGCATAGCGTTCGCCCACATATTGTACGGCGGGGGTCCTTCGTCTTGTATCCTTGGCTCCTTGGTTTTGGGTCCTTGGTCTTCTTGATTGGTTCCTTAGGTGTGGTTCCTTGGTCGTTGTTCCCTGCGCCTCGCCATGCAATGTTAGATGGAAAGACCGCCATGCAACTCCATGCAATGCCAGGCAATGCCAATTTGCCAAGCAATGCCACGCCTGTCAAGCACCGCCGAGCAATCTACCAAGCAACGCCACGCATTGGCACGCAGTGCTTCCATTCAGTACAAAGCTTTCCCCTGAATGGGGTCCCGCCAGATTCATGTTTGGCAATGCCCAGGAATATAGTTGGACCCTGTGCGCGGCAGACTTGCGTTGGTGTTTGGTGCTACATGCTCCCGCTTGTCAAATGCAGCCACCAGAGGTAGCATATTCCCCAAACAGTGCTTGCACTTAGAGGTTCTCACTCTCTTTTTGTAATAATGAAGAGGATCCGCCGAGGACGTTTCACGTTCGCGCCCGTGGCGCATCGTGGGCGCCCAGTGCTCTGGGTAGGTCCGCCGAGGTTCCACAGCTTTCGCGCCCGTGCCTTCTCGTGGGCGCTCATTGGCGCCCCGTACCCTGGGTGGGCCGGCCGAGGTTTCGCCACGTTCGCGCCCGTGCCGCCTCTCGGGCGCGCAGCGCGCCATGGGTGGGCAACATAGCTTACGCTTACACACCATAGCTCACACCGCATAGCGTACACCGCAGACTGGTCGCACAACATAGATCACACCACCTAGCTCATCGCACACAGCTTACACAATATAGCTTACACTACAGGTCACACCGTATAGCCTACACAGCATAGCTCACACCGCATACACAACATAGCTTACGCACAGCTTACACCGCATAGCTTTCGCCCCCGACACTGCAAGTTCGCACGGTGTTTATGCCCACGCTGGGCAACCGTTGTCTTGAGAAAAATGCATTGGCAAAGGCAACCGTCAGGATGCGGTGCGCGATACCTGCGCAGCGACCAACCAGGCCAGCGGCACACCGGCGGGGCTTATTCGAGCAGCCGGACTTGTTACCCTGGCGTGTTTGTCTTCTTGCATTAGAGGAGTTTGTTTCTCCCATGTGCAGTACAGATCATGTGCCATTGTCAAGTTTCGAGTCCATGAGTCATCGGTCAGGCGGGTCGTCCCATGGCAATGCTTGTGCTTCAGCGGCAGTTGGCATTTCTGGTCCACATGTTTGGCAGCATCATTGCAACTAGTAGTTCGTGTCCTTCGGTGCAGGGCTGAGGGGTCGCACTGCATATCGATGCTTGTTTGTGCCACCCGCGCATTCAAACAAAGAACACAACAAATCAAACACCAATGTACAACTCTCCCTCCGCGTAACGCATAGCTTCCAGGGAAGCTCCATGATGTTTCTTCGCTTGCATTTGTCCAGGGAGGCTGTTCACCCTTCAGCTAGTTAGTCCATGCCCTTTGTGTCCACGCTGGTCATTAGCTTCAGCGCCAAGCGACGACCTCCTGCATTCCGCTCGGCGCAAGTGCGGTGGTGGACTCGGACGTGCGGGAAATTGCTGCATGCGGAAGAAAATGCGCGCTTTTTGTTGACGAGTTTTCGGCAGTGGACGAGTGAGCATGGCACCCTTGCTTGGCTTGGGCATGGTCAACAGCACTCACGGAGGAGCACTTGGTTCTGTGGAGATAGAACATCTGCTATCTGGGTGCGCCCTCGTGGTTTGGAATGGACGTGCCTTGCGCACTCTTCGCCTCCGATTTCTCCGCGGGGCTGGCTTCAAGCTGCCAACGCTGTCTCGGCCGTGCTCCGTGGACCGCTTCGTGGTGGACAGGGCCTCCACCGTGGCGCGCAAGATGGACGGGCGCAAGGCGATCGTTGCTGAGGCCTACAAGCGCAGGCTTGTTCGCTGGACTTCGTAGTGTTTGGGTACGTGCCACCGCTTCGCCGATATTCCTCGCGAAGGAGGCCAGGGCCCGTCGGGACGCCGCAGCAGGCGACGGGCCCGAGGCTCTGCGGCCAAAGCCGGTCCAGCGGCTCCGCCGCCCCACGCATCTTCCAGCCTGCACGGCGCCTTCGTTGGCTGGCGCCCCTCGGCGCCGCTGGCGGGTCACGAGACGTTCCTACTTGCACAGAAGGTTGAATGCCGCTGTTCCTTGCAACGGAGGCAGGGCCCCTCTTGACGCCGCAGTGGGCGACGGGCACGAGGCTCTGCGACTGAGGTCGGCCCAGTTGCTCCGCCGCTCCGCGCACATCTTCCAGCCTGCGCCGTCGCCGAGGAGGATGCCGCCCTCGCTGGTCGGCCCCTTTCATTGCAAATGATCTCAAACAATCTACTCGGACCGCCTTCGGGAGGCCTCCACTCAAGGCTGTACCTTCGGACCTCGGACAGGGGCACCGCCCCCTGAGAGCAACGCCCGCTGGTGAGCCAGATCCTGATGGGAGATGGCACTTTCCAAGGCATCCGACGACAACGTTGGTTCCCAGAGGCGTGGACCTGTCTTCAGGGACCTGATCTCCATCCTGAGTCGAGTTTGACAGTCCCGGGGCCCAGTACGGGCCCTCCGAGACCGAACCAGTATGATAAAAAACGACGTCGTGATGTCTTGACGACGCAGGATGTCAGGGCCCTTGGCCGCACCGGACCCTTGGAAAGTGGCACCGCGCGTGCAGCTCCAGCTCCCGAGGCAGCACCAGATATGGTGGGGCCCCGTTTCCGGGCGACGAAGGGAGCCCCCGCAGTCTGGACCATAATCGAACAGAGGCGGTCGGTGTTTTGTTTATCCTGGGGCCGTCCAAAGCGACTCAGGATGAGAAGCTGGCCCTGGGAGAGGGGACCAGTGGCCCAGCGGCCCATATTTCGAAACAAGTCGAGCCGCACGATGCTTGGGAGCTCCATGGAAGTGCAGGGTCATTCGGCGGATCTTCGTTCAGATATTCGTCGAATGTGCGATGACAGGCCGCTGCGTCTGGAAATGTGGACGGCCAGAAGTGGACTGGGCCAAACAATTACAGATGAGAGCCGTTGGGTACACTCAGTCAACTCGTCTGTAGAGTACTGCCCGCCGATGTTTCAGTGGGCATACGGCAATGTTCCTTTCTCTTGTCTGATGATGTGGCGTTCCAACCACTGTGTGCTTGATTTGACCTCGTTTGAGTTGTGTGACATTCGTATCCAGGAGCGGAGCGATAGCACGATTGGTCTAGGAGGCGTGAAGAAACATCCGTGAGTTGTTTTGGTGGGCGAATGACGGTTCACATACATTGCTCTTTTGCAGCAGGCGTGAAGCACACCATATGTTTTTTTTATGATCGCATTCGCAATGACAAGTGAACGATGTTTAAAAGGGGTGTCGACAGCGCGGACATTAGCGCGTGAGCTGCCCGCGTGAGGTGCGTGAGCGTCCTCCTTTCCGTGTGCAGTGCTGCGTTGGCGGTCTGCTCAAGGCACCGCGCAAGGTCTCTGCGTCCCATTGCACAAAACGACCCTTCTTTCTCCATCCCCAACTGTGAACCTTTCGAAGCAGCCACCAGAGGCGAGTTCCACCCTCCCTCTCCGTCCCTGCCGCCCGGCGAGGTCGACACTTTCCCAATATTGGGCCTCTCGTGGCTGCGAACGAGTCCGCAGTGGGTGGGCCTCCAGGGAGGGAGGGGGGCGGCGCTGAAGGAGGGATGGGATGGCAGGACAGCGCTGAGTAGCAGCGGGGGGGCGATGCGATGCAATCTCAGCGTCTGTCCACAGGACTGCTGCCACTTTATGTATGGCTCGGCTTCTTGGGGCCAAGCGAAGGGACGCGGGAAAAAAGGGAGCAGGGGGGGGGGGAAAGGGGAGGGGGAAGGGAGGGGGGACGCAGGAAAAGGGAGGGGGCAGAGAGGGGAGCGGCAGGGAGAGAAGGAGGGAGTAACGGTGAAGGAAGGAACGAGCCTAGTAGTGACCATGAACAGCAGCGGGAGGAAGCGGGAGGAGCTGCAGAAAGCCCTTGGCAACAGTTCCCCATCGTGGGTTTGGGGGAGGCTGCGTGGCCACTGGGAGCCGTCTGGAGACGGTCATGGCGCCTCTTGGAAGCTATCCTGGGCCATCTCAGGCCATCTTGAAGACATGTTTGGGCTATCTGGGCCCTCTTGGGGACGCCTTGGACGCGCCTTTGACACGCCACCGGGCCCGTCCAGACCCAGAGACAGGGGGACAGGGGGTAATGGGGATAGTTGACCTCCCCCTGAAGGGAATGAGGAGTTGAGGTTGCAAGGTCAAATTCTAGAATCTATGCGTAATCCCGCCAGCCCACACAGGAACGATGCCCAGACGAGTTGCCCTGATCACTGGGATGTGGATGATAATGCAGTGGAATTTAGGGCTAGAAAAGCGCCGTGCCCCAAGAGGGGGGGGGATGGAGGAGGAGTCGGAGGAGGAACGAGAGGGGGAGGATGAGGATGAGGAGGAGGACGAGGTGCTAGCAGCTAATAGCGTTCCGACTGGGTGAGCATTTGCATGGCTGTAGTGGAGAGCGTAGGACAAAGGCTTCATGCATGACCTCTTGTTTATTATTTGGCTCAAGTACTGTTTGCCTCCAGGGAAAAAATGCCTTTATCATATTTCCATGGTAGCGGAGCCCATAGTTCGCCCCAGGGGTTTCAGTGCCCGCGGTTAACTCCGCAGGGTACCCGCTTTCCGTCGATGGCAGCGGTTGCGGCTGCAACGGGCTCACCGAGCCAGGGCACTGCCGACCCATGTCTCGATGTGGCGTTACCCGAGGTCAGAGAGGCTTGCCAGAACCTGAGCACGAACCAGGTCGCAGAATTGTGCGAAAGTTGGCTACGAGAACGGACGTTTTATGTATGTTAATACAGCTTTCAAGGCCAACCACGAATGGTTGGGGTTACTCTTCGAGCGCAACGGTACGCTAGGCACCATGACGGCGGTTGACAATGACGAGGCATTCACGATGTAGCAGATAAACCACAAGAGGGACACCCTCCTGGTATCAGTCATCAACCGCAACATGTATTGCGAGGAACAGTTCAACACGTTCGGACATAACTCCAGCGTCAAGCGAACGCCCCAGAGCATGTTGCTCGAATCGCCGAGGCTTTACATTTTGCTTGAAACACGAGGGCCAGAGGAGGTGGAAGCAAGCCCGTGGACGAGCACTGAGCAATTCAACAGTTAACGACGTTCTCGGGTGACTGGGCCAAAGTCACGGAATTGAGCGCACAGCTGTTGACAGCGCCCGCCCAGGAATGGAGCGCACAGCTGTTGACGGGAAGCCTTCGGACATTTGAAACACAAATTTGAAACCATGGGTTGGACACCACCTGACGACGAATATTATTCTGGTCGTGGCCGAGATGCGAGCCCCGAGTGCATACACCCAAGCGTCAGTGAAGAAGAGACCGGAAGACGCATAACACAATGGATATGAGTTAAACGGCGATGACTACGTAAAGTTGGACGAGGGCCCCTGGTATTGATTGAACGGCAAGCTGGAGGGAACGGATACTCGTGGGAATTTCAAGGGTCTACATGAAGGCGATGGCTTACTGGCTTACCAGAGCATCTACACATCGAATTGTGCCGTAAGTTGAGTCACGATTTTACACCACATGAACTTGGCCATGAATCTTGGGAATCCCCCAAACAGTGAATGATGTGGCGACCCCGCTTGGACAACGGAGTGCGCGTGTAGAGTCTTTGGAAAACCATGGGCCTGCATGTTCGTTACCATTGCCATTCAGCGTGATTGCGTTGAGGATCGTCATGACTCACGCACGGGACTGGCTTGACGATTGGCAACAATATTGCATTGGGCAAAGAAGAAAAGCTTGGACGCAGATGCGAACAACAATGTTTCCGTGGGAATCGGCCAAGTTAACGACGAAGAGACAGGCGATTGGGGCACAGGCGTGGAAGATGCCGGTAGTTACGGCGAAGGCGGAATGCTGTGGACTTGAAATGCGGCAGAAGACGCGAGCGAAAATGGCGATGTGAATGCAGCGGGCGCAGGAAAGGGCATAGGTAAACGGCCCATGCGTTACACGCGTGGAAGATATGGGCACATTGCCAAACAGATCGCGCCACGAAAGGAATCGCCAGAGGAGAAGGCGGCGGAAAAGGAGAGCGCAAAGGTGTCGCGGATTACCCGGGGGCGCAAACAGGGGGGTGCAAAAGGAGGGCATCAAGGCACCAAGGGTTGCTCGAAGGGCCACGCAGGGGCGGGCTGCAGAGGGGGTCCACGAGGAGTTTATTAAGGAAGCCTCGCCCAAGGCTGGGAACGGGGAGGTGAAGGAGGAATTGTGTCCATCAGCGCGGGGGTGCGATAGTGGGGCCGCGTCGATGCCCGCTGACCCAAGAACGCCGACGAGGACGCCCCGCGTCAAAGGGGGGTGGGCAGGAGGCTTCAGGGTGGCCCGCGCAGATGTTTGTGCACGCCCTACCTGGACAGGGGTGCTGCAGCGTTGAAATGGGCGAAGCCGCTGGCGAAGGTGGAGTCACTGGCGACATCGAAGCACTGGGGGCCGTTTAAAAGGGCACGGGAGCGAAGGGCGCAGCACCAAGAGACAGAGAGGAGGAACGGGGGTAGAGGTTAGGGGTCGCGAGGGAGCACGCATCACATGAGCGCAGCGTTAATTGCGCACATTGCACCCACTGGGGCAACCGAGTCACAGGGTGCGCCAAAAAGAAGAAGAACAGTTGGATGCAAATGCGCGCCGAACTGCGCCTAGTGGAGATGGAAGGGCCCGGCAAGGAAGTGAACGCAGTGCCCGCGCGGGGCCAGGGGCGCGGCGGGAAGGCGACGCGCGCCGCCGTGGACCCGGCAGGCGCCCGCCCCCGTCGAGCCCGCAGATTCCTGCGAGGGCGGTGGGCACGACGGCGCAGCCAATGGGCCAGCCATCAGGAACCATGGACAACGAGTTATCTTTGGTC